GCATATCCCTGATTCTGCCCCTGAAAACGTGACTGAGTGAAGCCCGGGGGATTATGAGGGATTCTGGAAACGCCCTGTTGCTGTGCAATGCTCCGCTCGGGTTTCCGTAGGAGAAACCAGGATGGTTTCTAGGCGCGTTCGGGTTGTAGAGATTGGAAGGATTCTGGTACTGATTCCTTCCTACGTATGTGACATCCTCAACCGGTTCTTCCTCTGATGTGGTATGATCAACCAGAAACATGTCAGGCTGGACTTTCTGCGGGATAGGCGTACTCTTGAGTCCCATGTGCTGCTTAATTTCCGATAAATCAGACATGACCGCTTTCAAAGCAGCGGACTCACCCAAATCTACCCGTCCTGTTGTGACATCCTCAACCGGTTCTTCCTCTGATGTGGTATGATCAACCAGAAACATGTCAGGCTGGACTTTCTGCGGGATAGGCGTACTCTTGAGTCCCATGTGCTGCTTAATTTCCGATAAATCAGACATGACCGCTTTCAAAGCAGCGGACTCACCCAAATCTACCCGTCCTGTAGAGCATCTGATGCTATCTCCTGACATCCCTCTTGCTTTAGCTATCTTCGCAATCTGCATCTCTAGGGTGTTAAAGGGAATGTCGTATACACTCCCTCCACAAGCTGCATCCATCCATGCTCTAGTATCGTCTATCAGTCTGTGGATGAATGTGGAAAGCAGCAGTCGCTTATCCATGCCGTGGTGTGGACAAAGGCGTTGGTAGACTTTGAATCTCTCACATGCGTCGTACAGACTCTCATCACTCTCTTGAGTGAAGCTGTGTATGGTTCTCTGTGCAGCTCAAGTCTTCTCTAGTGATGTACGCACGGAAGAGGATGGAAGCAAGTCTGATCGCAATCACCGGCTCGCGTCTAGCAGCACTCGAACTCACGAACAAACGGGGATAATCGAAGGGGATTTACGAGAAAATCTCTCAATCACCGGCTCACTCAAGTGGCACTCGAATTCAAGAGAGAATTCAGAGAATGGATGGTGGAAATGAAGGGGAAGATGGCGAGTATGGCTTCGGACAAACCGAAGGGTGAGCCGGACACACCGAGCTCGGGATTTTCGGACAAACCGAAAGAGATTGTTGGACAAACCAACAAAGGATGAGGCAAGCTCGAAATTACTTCATTCAAATGTTCAAATCTATATTGTAATTCACGGAGACAATGTCGGGGTACATACCTTTTCCGCATGAGGATTTTCATCTCTTTCCAAGTGGAAACCGGATCATAATGTGGTCGTCGGTGTTCGATCTCCTTTTGTTCCCACCACATGAGAGCATTCTTCGCAAGATGGGCAGCCGCGTATTGGACCTTTCTTTGGTTCGACCAGGAGTAACACTCAAAGATGTCATTCATTTGCCGC